TGTCACCATACATTACGTGAGTAACTTTCTCACCAACACCGTGCTGTCACCATACATTGTGAACACGGAGAATTCATCATACGTTGCAAGTATAGGCTATCGCACCGCGACGTCATTTCTTTACATTTTTGTTTACCAATATCTGGTCACTGTTCGGCATTCGCTCGCGATCTGCTGTGACATTATTAAGGTGTACATTAATAGATACTGTAGATACTTGTGTTATGCTTGTAATTATTACCTTCATGTTGTACTGGTAGTAACGTGTTAAATGTGTGTTCACGGGAACTTACTTGAAAAATTGTAACCGGGCCTGAATATCACACCTTTACGTTGCAGCATTGGATAGTAAAGCTGGGATTGGTCCTATGTAGATTATCTTTAAACGTTTTTAAACATGCATTATACTAAATTTGTATTCCTACGTTGGATTCCTTTAGGCGATAAAGTTCATCACATCACTGCTCGGTCTGGCGGGGGAGGGGGCATTCATTTACTCCGGAAACACAATAAAATATACTGTTTTCTATTTTTCTTAGGATATACTTGGATGACGATTTGTTTCCAGAACCACAAATAGACCCCAGTGTAAGGACACGTGTACCTATTCACGACGCTTAGTTCAGACACGTTCAGCACCAATCAAGTAACCAGTAATATTCGTCAATTGATGAAACCGCGATCTCCGTGAACAACCTTTTTCTGCTGGGATCTTCTGGTGTTTCCAATTTCATCATAACAAAATAAATACCACCATCTTGCTTACGGATCCACCACAAGCATTCAACAGAAAAACAGGCGAATCATTAACACAGATAATAGGAACGAATTTACGGTTCATGCAAACTAAATTAATACATACACGCATTACTACAGGCCTGGGATTGTTTTAATATATAGAGGGCGCATTTTAACCAATGGGAATGTGTTGACATCTAAAATTAAAATAATTATTTTTTAAATATGAATTCATGGGTTGTATTCTGTCCACATTTCTATTCACGTACGGCGTTGATGTTATTATACTATTCAGCCATCTCACCTATCCCATGTGTAACGCAATCCAGCGTTGAAAGGATTATGTGACGTAATAATTCAAAACAATGTCCTTCACATCGTTGATATCGTTTTGATTTGTAGTCGCCCGCCAGTGAATAATGCTCAATATATTTGCTATGTTTTTATTGACCGAATACACAACTAAATTATGGCCTTCACATATACCTAATCTGACATCACAGATCCGCATCGCCGCCAGAGGGCTCTCCAATACACCTTTGGTGCAAATGGCCGCCGATATCTCATTGAGAGCGAGAGTGAGAGTGACGAGACTTATTTTTGTTCCTCAATCAATCTCCCACGCAGTGTTCTATTTCTACAAATATATCTCTTACCATTCGTTATTCAGCGATGGAATTATTTTCTTTTGTAAATAATAACTATTTCATCTATTCGAAAGAATGCGTTTACGAAAAAAAAATCATTATCGATAATATATTTTAAAACGTATTTACCAGTAAGAAGACGTCAACTTGCCACGAGGGCCCTCAAAAAACAAAAAGACGCAAAGAATAAGTACGCGTAGTAAAAGTCTTGAGGCGATTCATAACAATATGGCAGTGTATGATGGCAGAGATATTTTAGGTGTTCTGACCGCAAGGTACTCTGGGAAGGAAAATGCCCCTCACTAAGTGTTCGTCAACTGTCCATGGTTACCTCAGTCAGAGGAACTACAGACGCGATGACGAGAAAGAACAGAACAATATTTGAAAGAAAAAGTATTATTATATCAACATGTCATTTTTCATAATGTTTATTTTAAGCAAATACAAGTTATGATTTATGCCCCGACCATTTATGAATGGCCATGATTTCCACCTGTGCCGCCATTATAACCGAAATAGCGACAATTTAGTAAAAACACAACAAAAGTGAATAATTAAATCTGATACAAGTATGACAAGGTTTATAGGTGAAGCCATCCATACACTGCCCGTAAAAGTTATTTTTCTGGACCTTGAAACCATTAATTCTTCATGAACTCACCGGGAGTAGTACAACTCTGGCGTCGACGACTGTGTTTCCGTTTATTAGACTGCAAACTAATTCGTATTTAGAGATTCCATTGCAATGGCAATCACCACACCTGTATCCACCGACCCACCGAGCAAGTCTGAGTCTTCTAGCCGAGATGTAACTCCGTTGATAATTGGTTCATTTCTCCTTGCGACAATTATTATCTTTGCTCTGGCAGCTTTCTTTGGTTGGATAATCTCACAGCGGAAGAAACGGAACAGGAGAAGAAGTGTAGGTAGAATTGATATGCGTGGTAAGTACTAATGTATCTCTTTCATTCACCTATATGAAACATCAGGAATATGACCAGTCGATCATTGCACACTGCACCAGAAATATGTAATCTCTATGTTTTGTACTTTTTCAGATCCAGACTTGAAATCATAACTGTTCCAATGTCGATGTTTATAACAAATTAAAAGTGGTTCAATTTGCTGCAACAGAAATCCAGCGGCCACGACCCCAAGGGACCATTGAGCTGCTGTTAGAAAAACACTATACTATTATGCGCATGTTGAGAATAGCTGCGTTAAAATGCAATATAATAAGAGTAACACAGCAATGTAACTAATTTAATTACGATTTGTTCAAATATTTTATAAGTTCGTAACGTTACTCATAATTTTTATATATGCATATACATATTACATATTGCTTTGTAATTCGTTAATACATTGGTTATTATAATGTTATGTTTTGATATCACAAAATACGATAGTAATTACAAAATAAATTGTGAGCTCTAAAGTTGTTTTATATGAATTCATAGAAATAGTTTACAACAACATATCGTCACCCAAAATTCAGTTTTGGTTATACCCCTTCAATTGAATAGTTTACGAACCAGTCCGAAATTAATAATGTATATTTCAAGGATAAATAAACAATAACACGTGATTTATGGAAAAGAAGTGTTTCAAAAAAACAACAATATTTGATTGAACCCCGTCAGCCCACTCAGTTGTATTACATGTAACTGCGTTTCATGGGATACAACCACAGCACGTATGGTACAACAATAGACGGTATACGCAACTGTAAGCTGAAATCTCATTAGAAGCAGAGCCACGAGACTTGTTTAGTTGTCTCTCAAATTGTGTTCTATTCCATTCCGTCCACTGTCCCAAACACCGTGGTTACATGGATCGGGAAAACAGCTCATAGTGCACTGAACGCAGCGACGGTGACGACGCAACTATTTGAGCGACAAAAACTAGTCTGGTGACCCTCTCGCCCTCGCTCCCACCAAGATGTCGCTACAGTTTGCGAATAAATTATGTTATTATATTATCTAGCACCGAAAACGATATGTAATTACCATTTACCACAAATTATCGGCTCTAAATGTTTATTTAACGCAACGACGGAAAATCATATTTCAAATACATGGAATTATAACACAGCAGAGAATTAAGATGAACAAACAAACAAGAACGTTAATTGCTGCCGATGTTTTGATTTTGGTTTGTATTTTGTCTTGCATTCCAAATATATGGATATTAAACGTTACTTGAACAAGATTTTCTGTTTGTATATAGCTTATGTTTAGCAATAGTTCGTTCAATGTGACTACGATGTTTTGCCTCGTACTTGGCCGAGTAGAAACACGAGTTTGGGCAAGGTACGGAACTTATTCGTATGAAAATGGCGGTCATGTACTAGTATTTATTTTCGAACAAAACACTATTCGTTCCCTGTTTTAATCGCAATATACGGCGAATACAGCTACTACTCTTTTCACAATTTGTGTATTTAGCCAGCCATCCGACAACATAATTAAAGGAATTTATTCCATTATCTTACCAACAGGAAAGTATCGAGAACAGGCTCGATCAAGCAATGTTTCCAGTATGTCGATGGAAATATTGAGTTATATTCATGTTTTACGAAAAATGGAAAAAATCACGTTTTATTTTCGCGACTGAAAGATGAAGGCCAATTTATTTGGTGTTCGTCCCTTCTTTACAACTATCATAAATAATGGTAAATAAATAAAAATTACAATAATTACCATAAATTTGCGGCTGTATTTATTTATTTGTTCATTATTTCAATGATATTTTGAATTAAAATCTCTGAGTTAACAGTTGTTGCCTACTACCCTTGCACAATGTTGTTTTGCATACCACTCATTTGCATATTCCAATATGTTTGAACTCCAAGACCCTGTCAGTTACTAATAACCCAGTCATGTTCAAGACATGGCGGGCGAAACACTTCTGCCTTACCACCCTTATCCTGTGCGAGCTGCTTCAGAACGCCGATTGAAGATCCCGATAAAAACAGTAAAGGTAAAAAAAAGCACTTTGGAATTCAACTTTGTGATAATTCTGAGCAACCAAATGTATATATATATATAGGGATAATCTTGTTATACTGTTCAGAAGAGAGTCCCAACACAAATATCAATGTACAGTTTTCTGAGATTTTTTTTATTTTATTTCACCGGTGATGACTTGCCAGACAGTGAAGATACCCGTGTGTCCTCCGACGGAACCACGCGAACGACAGAACTAGAATCCCATCACTCGGCTGAACGCAAACATTCACACAGAGCAAAACGTTTTTCGTTGTCATTGCTGCATGAATTGAATTATTTATTTGCCATATATACAACTATTTATTACACTACAGTATTAGAACTTAAAATTAAAAATATTTTTTTTTAAATACAAATATAGGTTTGGAAGTTAACTGAGTCTTGTCAGTGGAGCCTATGTGTACACGTTGGTTTAGCGTGGCCTGTATAGCTTGTTGAATCTCACTCTCACAGATTGCAACATAAATTTGTCCACCAACAACGATTTCACGAATACTAAAAACGTGGGACCATTCTTAAAAGATCCGTCAATATGCACAAATGACGTCACTGGGATACGGTCCAAATATATGTACGCATGTTGTGGTCAAAGTAGTAATAGAAAGTATAGGAAATTCTGGATTGTTATAGTATCTATTATAATCGACAATTATAAATTATAAAAGTATGTGTGCATGTCCTCATCCTCTTCTATACAAAGCCGCTTTGAAATGCCCGGGCCGATGAGTTCATATAAGAAACACCTACCCACCCATACTTACTGTAGTTTTGTTTTAATGAGAATAATTACGCACATCTGGTGTAAAATAACATCGTTAAACAACAACAATACAGGCAATTATGATCATAAATGTTCACATTACTACTGTCAATATCAGAACACCATATATGGTAACATAGCCATACCACAATAGTTGTTGTACAACTGAAATTTCACCAGAGTAAATCACTACAGATGCAGCATGAACCATTGTAAGAACAGCGCCACCAACGATAGTAATTGAGAGAACTGAGAGGATCGGTCAATCCGTAGACAAAATATATTTTTGCATTGGCTGAAACGAAATCTCTACAATTTGGACATACGGGCAACGAAGGGCATATGAGAGATGACGCAGCCAAAAAAACCATGCCTTGTAACGCAATGACAATACCATGACTGAATTTTGTGGATAAAGTCATTGCAAATATATAATTACCATCCACACTTTGGTACTACAGAAGGGTTACATGAAATCATGGGGGATGGACGCGACAGAGGTGTGTATGGTTGGTTAATACTGTTGTGTACATTTCTGAAGATATCAAGCGGCTCTGCAGGTAGGTCATAGGTCAAATAAGATATAATCCAGAACAACTGGCAGAAAATCAATAATCTTTCAAATTTCGTCTACAATTGTACAATGAGAGGACCCCATTGTCTCGCCCTGTGGGGTATTTAAATTATTTTCACGAGTTGGGCTATATATCCTGGCCGTATTTGCACGTGACATGACGACATTTTAACTTTTTTTAACATCTAGATCAAGGAATAAACGTGTTTTTCGAACTCATAGAGCCCCGGATTCACAGCTCATGTAAAATGCAGTCTTTATATATAACACACTAATTTGCATATTGTCGGTGATAACACCATTCGGTCAGGCACGTTACAACTATCCGAAGCATACAGATACACGATTCTAAAACCAAATATTCATCACGAAATATTTTAAGCGCATGTATGGAAATACCTTTTGAAATACTACATGAAAAACAAACAAACATACGGGACCTTTTTTTTCTCATTTGAATATGGGTAATCAAAATACCGTTTATATTTGCAGTATTGCAAAAAAGTAAATTGTAGTACATATATAATGATACAAAATACACAACTGATTAAAATGGAATCTTATGAACAACCATAATTACTATCAAACATGTTCATTAATTAATTAATTAACTGACATGATATTTTAATTTTTTTTTCGTGCACGCCAAGTTGACCCGCGTTTCCTATCTGCTAGATTACGCTTGGATTCTGCAGTGCTGGTACCATTTGGAACCCTGGGCGGAATCTTGACGCATGCCAGTGATGTGATATGTTTCTGGCAATAATGTGTCTTCATTAAGTCAGCGATTCTTAGCTCATTGCAAACTATATAAATTATTTATCAACATATGTAATATAATTGTATTGAAATGATTTGATAAACAAATTGCCGCTCAATTATTAGTCCCCGTTCGTATATTTGTTTGCGCATGTGCGAGCAACTGACAGTGTAGGAGTGTCAAGGGCTCTCGAAAAGTGTGCCAAATTATACAGTTTTATGCAACAGAGACGCACAACAAGAGGTAATCAAGGCCATTAATGAACTGGGTACCTGTAAACCTTAAACAAATTCCAATAGAACAATGATGAGACGAACTAAAAGTGGTGGAAAAAATCGTGGCGGTAAATCTACACCGACAAAAGGATCCATTGCTAATTTTATGCAAATTAATGCATTGACAGAAAACCAAGAATGCGATATACCTGATGAAGACACGCAATCTGGCATTGTTGACCAATCTGATCATGCACAGAAAGCTGACACGTATTCAATCAATGAACACGGCGAGGACGACGTCTTAGAAATGCATGATTTCCAACGCTTCGTAAAAAACGCTCTAATGCGTTTAAAGAATAGGCAAAGACAAGATTTGTAAGGAACATTCAGTTATCCTAGAAAAATTGCAAGTTACGGAACCCAAACAGGAGACGCTAGAAGACTGAAACTGTAACCAAACAGGGTGAAACTAGCTAGACAGCTAGAGAACGCGAACCGCGACATGCACGAACAAGTGAGTCAACTGCATCATAGCTGTTTACAACTACGTGATACAAACAGAAGACTAAATGAAGAAAACCTCAAAATGCAGAGATATTCGAGAAGTTTTAACTTACGGTTCGGAGGTGTCCATGAAATAGAAGGCGAAGACTGCCTACGCGTGGCAAAGCAGATTTTACAGAGCAAGTTCGGAATGGAAAACGCAGAGATCGAGAACGCACAATGTACTGGTCTTAAAAAATAGTAGGAAACCGCGGCATATCCTAGCCAAATTTTTATATCGTCCGCAACGCCATAACATTATTGTGAACTCAAAGAAGGCATTACAAGGTGCGGGAATGTTCGTGACTGA